TATTACATTAATCAACAAGTTAATCGATAAATTTTAACATAGAATTTCGTAAACTTACTCCCTAAATATTGATATATTAAGATCAGTGATGCCATTTGCTAATTCTTATCAATCTCTCTCCATTCACTTTTATAAAGTACAAACTCATAGAATTATGCTTTTTTTAAAAAAAAAAACTCTTCATATTGAAATATTAAAGGAGCTAAATTTAGAGTGTAACAAGTGTTTCGAATAAAAAGGTTAAATTATCACATAACAAGATTACCTTATTTTAGAAATCATTATACAAATATTGATTATTTATAGGGGTTATTATTTATCGTTATTCACTATTTATTTATATACTAAATATGTCTCTATTCAAAATTCATTACGTATTGCTAAGTTATTATGTGATCCAAAATAAGAAGGTATTATTGCTTCAAAAGCAAACCCTTAAAAGTTATGCAATGCAGTCTATTATAAAATTTCCTACGTATAAACATGTGTAGATGCATATTTTTATTAACTTTGTCGCATTCTTTCCGTCTACGTACAAAAGTTTTTCCTCAAATTAAAAAATAGGGGTTATCGGTTATGCATACGTAGTAAATTTTAATCATTATACTCAAAAGTTAATTTTTTCGGTCTGTATTACTTACCGACCTAAATTTTACAAAAACTCAAAATTTTTATTTTTAATTTTTTTTTTCGTAAATGCAATTTAAAATATTTATCTATCAAAAATAGAAAAATATGTACTCTAAAAATGAAAATCTGGAATTCTAAATAGAAAATCATTTTAATGCGACTTTTAATTGATTCGACTATAATGACTTTTTTTTTTTTTTTTGATTATTATAAAAAGTTTTTTCTAGTCGTTTTGACAGAATCGATTAAAAACCTGCATTCCAGAATTCCATATTAAAAATTCTTTAAATTTTTACTTAATGGAACTTAAATCATAATTATAATATCTGATAATATAAAAATGATGCCTTTTTAGAAGGCTTGGGAAGTTAAAAGACTTTAGTGCATGAAGATTCATAATTAGATGGGAAAATGATAAAAAAATTTGGATTAAAAAAGAAAAAAAAAAAAATCCGACCGTCAACCAAAAATCAGTATGATATGGTAGTTCAACCAAATGTTTATTCTTCGTGTAACGTATAAAAATAACTAAACAAAGTTTTAATTTAAAACGACTAAACCCTTGATTAGATAATATGAGTTTTAAAAGTACAGTCGATTTTTTTGGTAAATAGATACGTATCAAGTGACACTATATGCGTGTTAATGAAAATAAAATGTCAGTTAAAATTTTTTGGCTGAAGCAAAGCTGAAACTAACTAATTTGATGCAATAGTTTCAGCTTCAGCCAAAAAATTCAGCATCAACAACCACCGAAACATTCAATGTTTTAAACCATTCTTTTAAAACAATTTAAAAAAAATGAAACATTATATAATAGTTTAATTAATGGAGACAATGCGCATAGATACAAGTTTGTTAATTATGAGGGTTTGATGAAATGGCCGATTAAATGAGGAGATTAGGGATTTTTGATTCCAGTATTGGCAGATCATTTGGACAAGTTCAGAGTTTTTAATACCAAATGATCTACAAATTTGACCAGAAGGTCATATTAATGAGGTCATCGGCTAATGATATAACATGTAATTCATAACGAATTCTTTTTTTTGAAAAGTTATTATTTTCATCAAAAAAATTAAAGTAAAAATATAAGGGAGTGTCAGGGTATTCTGGCGTACCTAAGTTCTATTGCCAATAAAAATTTTCAAAAATTTTATTTACTTGTAAAAATCAATTAATTTTACGATTCATTATTCGCTACGTAATGAAAAAGAAATGGGGTTTAATAATAATAATAATAATAATAATAAACTAGTTTATTGGAACTTTTTGAAATCAATTTAAAGGCGTTATTTTATTAGGTGTGAGAGGGTATTTCGGCACATTGTAAGTAATATCTATATACTGCATAAACTACATAATTGGCCGAGTTCGAAATTTAAATCAATACTTTACTTATAATAAGTTACGTAATCCGGTTGCCTATGCCAAATTGATTTATATAAAATTTGACCAAGAGTTTGCCAAGATCTGCCAAAAGTTCATTCAATAATAGAATTGAATTATATAAAAAATCATTCAATTCTGATCATTGTATCTAGAGATATTTTTTTAAAAAAAAACTTCAATGCGTCACGCGTCAGAAACCTTATAATATAACAAAATAATTAAAAGTTTTTAAAAATCCAAACTTTTTACACGTTATTATATACATTTGAACAAGTTATTTATTAGTTTTCAAATTTATTAAATAAAATATAAAAGTAAGTGATATATTATTTCTATAAATTAAACTATTATATGCTAAAAAGTCCAATCACAATGTAATGTAAAAAAAAAAAAAAAAAACAAAATTTCAATAATCTATTCCTAAAATATTTTGATTATATTACAATAATTTAATAAAAGAAAAATCCAAATAACATAATAACAACACTACAAATTGGTAAAATATTGTTATTTAGTATCCTTGTAGCATCGGACTTCGATGTTGGAGCAGGGTTGGCATTAGGAGATGGTGTAATTTTTTGTTCATGAGTTGGTGTTGGTGTTGGTGTTGGTGTCGGAGTACTAATAGTTGTAGTAGTAGTAGTAGGCAAGATAACATTCTCCTTATAAGGAGAATTTCCCATACATTGATAAAGAGGTTTTATATTATAATTAGCTTTCTTAAGAATTGGTACGACCAAAGGAATTTGAGCAGCGGTTTGATTATATATATCATGTTCGAGAGAGATGTGACCAGTACTGGTTAGAGCTGGATCAGCTACCCATTTAGTAAAATTAGCTGCGACCCAAGAAATTTGAAAAGTTGGATCATCGGCCGACATCCAATCGTTAGTGTCTAAATCCCAAATTGTTGGTTTCATGCCAAGTTGAGTTGAAATATCACGAATTCGATCATCGTAATCTCCGAATGGAGGACGCATATACGTAGGAGTAACATTAATAGCGGCTTTTATAGCATCAATAGTATACATAAGTTCGGCAATAACTTGATCAGTGTTTTGAGTTGTTAACATAGGATGTGACCAAGTATGTACAGCAATTTGATGTCCTATTTATTTAAATAAATCATTTAGATCAAATATAATATATATATATTAAATAAATGAAAAGTATGAAAAAATTATAACAATAATAATAATAATTTACCTTCTTTATAAGCTCTTTGTAAGATTTCTGGATATTGGTATACATTAGAGCCAATAACGAAAAAGGTAATTTTAACATTTTGTGTAGCTAAATAGTCCAGAACTATAGTCGTGAATGGACTGGAAAAAAAAAAAAAATTAACTTATATAAGTAATAATTCACTATTCACGAAATAAAGCTACCTAGATCCTAGAAAACTTACGATGGACCATCATCTAAAGTAAGACCCCAATCTGATCAAAAAAAAAAAAAAAAAAAAAAGCATTATTAAAAGATTTATTAATTTAATTACTCGCTTTTTGTTTTTTTTTAATCATTACCTAATTTGTTAGGACATCGATAAATATCAGTATCATTTCTCATACAAGTTGTACAACTCCAATAACAGTAAGTATCAGTAGTTGGACAGGTAGCATTCACTCTACTGACTGGAGCATTCCTAATCTTAGTTGTATTTACAAGTCTTGAATAATTTGCATTTACTGGTGGGGGGACGTTAATTGCTGGCCAAGTTCCAGGAAGCACTGCTATGATGGAAGGCACTAGAGTGCAAAGAGTCGCGAACAAAAATAACATAAAATTGATTTGATTCATGATTATCATAATAATGGAATTTGCTACTTTTGAGAACGACCTTTTAAGAACAAAATCAAAGAATTTGATCGCTTGGCGGGTGAAGAAAATTTCTGAAATGGAGATAATATTTATATTTTTATATTTTTTAATAACCGTCTTATGATTTTTTTTTTTTAATATAACGAAAAATGGGGGTATTTAAGGGGTAAAAACCCAATATACTAAATATATAAAATATATTAATAACTCGTTTATCTTGCGAAAAATTTACTTGTATTCAACATCACTGAAACAACAACCGTAGAATGAATTAATTGAATAGTGGTACGACATAATTTTTACTGAAAAAATTCTATAATTAAATGAATTCATTAATTTTATGACACTTAGGATCTGATAAAAAAAACAAAAAAAAAAAGAGGGAATAATCTTTATAAAACTAAAGTGAATGCTATAGTAAACTAAAATTGTGACTGATTAATTATTTACATTGTCACAAATTTTGTGAGACCAACTATTTTTAAAAATAAAACAAAGATAAAAAAAATTTTTTTTTTTTATTAACCTTTCTAATTCCAGAAGTAATTTTCTTGTTAAAGGCCATAAGTGAAACATGAATAGAAATTTGTATATATATATATATACTGAAATATTTTATTTACATCTCGTAATACTGTATGCACAGTCGGCAGTGAAACTACGCAGCCGTATTTGAATTATTATAATATAATATTACAGTATTAAACTTAATACACGAGGCGCGATGGGATTTTTTATTGAATAATCAAACTGCATTTTTTTTTCTTTCTTTGCATACATTATGTGAAAACCCATTGTATTAAGTAATATCACGCATAATAAGATTCGTTACAAAAATAGTTTGGAGTGAATTCTATCCATTTTTAAGATGGCAAACCGGATTTTTTTTTTAAAAAAAAAATGCCAAAAACAGATTTTTTAAAAAAAAATTAGTCTAATAGAGACTACGTACATAAATTGCATCCTATAAAAAAATTATATTTACGAATCGGTAATTAAGAATATACGTGATATAATATTTTGAATTCCTTTTTTTTTTCACCAATATTTTAAAATCCTAAAATTTTTAGAATTAAACTCTTTTTCTAAAAGAATTTAAGCGCTGATATTAAAAAATATATATACCATATTTGGCTAGCCTTCCTAGTGTTGTTGCATCCTTTCTGTCATCTGAAAATTATTGCACACCTAGCATACATGATGGTAATTTGTTTACAGTACATAGTGTCACGGATTATATTAACGAAAGAAGGCCTAGACAATAATTATATTTTGTAAATATTATCTTTCTTATTGATTATTATGATCAATTGCTTATTATATATCGGGAAAAATGTTGTTTAAATACGGATTATTGTCATTTACTAAATATATCGAGAGTTGATATTTGAGTGTGCAAAAGAGTATTACGATTGTATAAACCATATAAATTGGGTTTCCCGAATTATTCTTTTATTTGTGAGTAATTAACTTTCATAAATAAAACGTTATTTGCCCCTATAAACAAAGTTTTACAAAAATTTAAATGAATTATACGGAATAATTCCATATTACATAATTGAATATCTTTATAGAGTCCATATAATTTCCAAGGGTATATTACATATATAAAATACGGAATTTCCGCATATATCATATAATTAATTTAAATTCTGTAACTTCTATCATATTATATAGCGTTAACAAAACTATCTTATCAATATATTTCTACAAAGTGTTTATCCAAATATTTTTTATGAGCTAGATATTACTATTGATCTTGTGGATAATGTATTAATTCAAGTTATCATAAATAATTAAAATTTTATCTAATTTAAAAATAGAGTTAAAAATACCAAAATTTAGTCGTTACTATATAAATTTGAAATACTTCAAACAATTCCGATTAATAATATTTTATTTAATAATTATAAATAAATAAATACATTTCTATTAATAATTCTACCGTAACTTTAAATTTTAACTAAAAAAAAAATTGAACTTTAAAATTTTTTTGGTCTAATTACCATGTATATAAATTAGTGATACGGGCCGATGGAAAAATCTCGGGTCGAGGCAGACCTTTTAAAAGTTTCTGAATGATTATGAACGTTTTTGAAAGATATTCAACCTTTACCGCACTTTAGACTTTTTTTTTTTTCTTTGGGCCTTATAAGAGATTCATATTCAAAGTTGTCTTATTGTCTACATTCCGGCCGATAATTTCTGGGCCGGATTAGAGTTAATACTTCAATCCGGTTTTATTATAAAAAAATTCGGATATAAATCCGGATTTTACTATGAAATATATCCGGATATAAAAATCCGGATTGAAGTATTAACTCTAGGCCGGATTTATGATGTAAATTTAAATGTAATTTTTTGCAATTTGAATTTCCCAATCCCCCAACTGCGTAATGCCGATTACTTTGTCGTCAATAATCACTTTAGAATTAATACAGTATCGGTATGTTATGTAAATAATTAGCCAATCAAAATTAATATTAGTCATAAAAAAAAAAAAAAGCTTATACGTACTGTACCTATTTATTTATTTTTTTTCCTGTTAAGGAATGTCCTCAGGCACTTTACTATACCTATTTTTAATATTTGAATGGTTTATTATTTTTTTTTTTTGGCTTTCGTATATGATAAATTTTGTTATAATTATCATAATTTCTAATAACTAATCCCAACAAAGATTAACTTTATACAGTATTTATACTTTAATCTGATTCATTCTTAGTTAATTTTATTTTTAAAAGAAAAAAAAAGGATATTCTATATAATAGGTGGGCAAACTCCGTTAAACTCCGCTGAATATATTAAAAATTTAATGATTACTAATCATTAGCGGAGTTTATTTCTTATATTACCCACTTGTTCTCAAGACCACATGATATTTTAAATAAAAATAGCGCGTTTGCGCTCGGCATATCTAATGTTTAAACTAATTTTGTCAATGTACGTATGTGCATAATGTTGTTTATATATTACAACATAATGGCGAAAGTTAAAATCTCCGTTTATGGGTGATGTCTACTATATATATATTTCTAGAAAAAAAGGGCTTAATAAAGGGGTGCATATAATTCACTTACATGTATTGATATATATAGTAATATATACAATCCATATAAGCCAAATTCGCTCACGCATGTGACTCAGTACAATGGAATTATCCTTGTCAATATTCAGAGTTGACAACATTGACTTTCAGCATTAGTGTCTCATACTTTTTTTAAATTACCATAAATATTTTAAGTTCTTTGAGTTCTATATGCGCTCACTTTGCTGTACAAACTTTAACCAATTTCTGTCGATATCATTATTGATATCATTGTAATTAAAGTCAGACCTCTCTAAATGCAACCCCCCTAAATGCACGTCTATGAAAACCTCTCTAAATGCATGTCTTATCTTGAGTCCAACTAATATAATACTTATAGATTTTTACCTCCCTAAATGCAATACCTCTCTAAATGCATGTTTTACTCATTTTTTACATATGATCTTGTCACATTGCATTTAGAGAGGTCTGACTGTATATAGTACATAAATCTGTTTATTTAATGTGTAAAGACTAATTTATATATGAATAAAATCATAAAAGGGAACTTTTATCTGTAGATTTCAAGTGCATATTTCCACAGATCAATTTTTTACTTACGCGTTTACCATGAAAAAATATTATTCTCATTAGGGATGTTAAAAGTTCGGTTCGGTTTAACTCGACTCCAAAAGTCGAGTCTTTATTAAAGTTCGGTTCCAAGTCAAACTTGAAACTCGACTCGCATTTTATGTGCATCTTGAACATTTAAATATACGTAGCCGAAAAAAAATGCATACTTTGCATGCATGCATATACATTTTTTTTTTTTAGCGCTATATTTAAATATACAAGTTGCACGTGAAATGCGAGTCGAGTTCCAAGTCTGACTTGGAACCGAACTTTAATAAAGATTCGACTTTGGAGTCGAGTCAAACCGAACCGAACTTTTAACATCCCTAATTCTCATCGACGTTCAAGTTGTTAGATCTAAGAATATATTGCTTTTATTTAAAAAGATTCAGAGTTGGAAAATTCAACATATGGGCCGATTTGGGTTGACCCCAAAATTAGCCAATCATAACGAAGAATAAAATTGTTTAAAATTTGTATACAAAGTGAATTTTCATAAAATCTATCTTTTAAACTTTTGAATTTATAATTAAGTATATAGAATATTGTAATTTCTTCATATTTAATTATAGATTTAAAGTAGCTAAAAGACCGTTTTTCCTGAAAATTTGCTTTCGAATTCACCATTACCTATTATTTAACCGAGACAGAACTGATCGTTTCAAAAAATAGTGATAGTGCTTTCTTTTACAGCTTAGCATAGTCGTTTTACTTGTATTTATTTCTTCTTTATCTTATACGGAAATTAAAGAAGTTCCTTTATTGAGTACTTTGTTTGTTGTTTTCACAATCACTTCCAAGACAATTAATTCAACACAGACAACCAATTACTCACTTCATAGTTCGTGTCAAAAAAAATCTCATCGGCGGATATGAAATGCACCCCTTGAAACTGGAAATAAGAGAGTAATTTTATAAATGTTATTATAAGTTGGAATTTGTACAATTATGGAAGTGTTTTCATTATTAGGTTTACTTAATGTGCAAAATCGTAATAAACCTTTAAATTTTTTTTTTTAACTTTAATAACAATGCAATAGAGTATATTTGTTTGTTGAGTTGTAATAATCTTGAATTAAAGGGAAGAAATGATGTAATTTGTAAGAACACTACTCTGACTTCTTTAAATTTTTATTTTTATAAACTTGGATCAAATGTAGGAAAGCATTAGCAGATGCACTTTGTAAGAACACTACTCTGACTTTTTTAAATTTTAATTTTAACGAACTTGGATCAGAAGATGGAAAAGCATTAGCGGATGCACTTTACAAAAACACTACTCTGGATCCTAGTTACAATTAGATGAATAAAAGTATTA